CCTTCCTTCCTTCCTTCCTTCCTTCCTTCCTTCCTTCCTTCCTTTCTTTCTTTCTTTCTTTCTTTCTTTCTTTCTTTCTTTCTTCTTTCTTTCTTCCTCTCTCTCTCTCTTTCTTTCTTTCTTCTCCTGTTAAATGCCCACATGCTGATTACCTGGTGCTTCACTCATTCATCCATGCCCTCGCCTGGTCCTTCACACAGCCACTTGTTCATCCATTCATTCAACACATACTTGCTGGGATCGACCCCCAGGGGAGCAGGACGACCCCAGCCCCCTGGCCTTCCTGCTGATGTAAGTAGCTCAGAGAAGTGTGTGTGTGTGTGTGCGCGCGCGCGCGCTGTCTAACACTCTCCCTCTAGGAGCCAGGCCTCGGACTGTATGACATCTTCCTGGGCCACAGGGGGACTGGCCTGGACTGCACCAGGCCATCTGCAGGACTGAGGCAAAGCTGAACCAGAATTGCAGTGGGGCCCAAGATCCTGCTCCTGCTGCTGCTGTCGTCTGTCATAGAACCATGAGAGGGGTCTGTGCACCCCCAGTCACAGTGTGGTCTCTGTGGCCTTCTGTGGCTCTGGTAGAGTCCAGTCCAGTCGACCCTGGCCAGGCCCTTTCTCCCAGCAAGCTACGTGTCAGGAGTGGCAGTGAGCTTGCCACCGCACCCTGGGTGGAGTGCACAGAGTTCAGAGGCTCCTCACCGGCCGGGCCACATCCCGCAGGTACTGGGCGCAATCCTGGTGTCCATGGTACTCGGCCAGGTCCGCCGCCGTGTAGCCATCCTCATCCTGGAGGGAGGGGTCCACGTTGTGGGAGACCAGGGTCTGGCAGCACTGCAGTGGGAGGGAATGTATGTGACACATGGACCAGCCTCATGAGGACCAGCCCCGTGGAGGACCAGCCCCGTGGAGGACCAGCCCCGTGGAGGACCAGCCCCGTGGAGGACCAGCCCCGTGGAGGACCAGCCTGGGGCTATGCACAGGAGGGACAGGAAGGCCACTGTGGGCCAAGGACTGCCCATTCACCCACCACACCGCAAGTCTTGAATCAGGACAGCAGTTCCAGAACCCTGCCCTGTGTCCCCTAACCTCCCTGTCACTGTGCCTGGTACCAACAGTACCCACTGTGTCCAGCACCTGTAAACCAGCTGCTCTAATGGCAGGTCTGCCCGTGCTAGGGACTGAATTATTTCCCCCAAAATAATCTGTGTCAGCTTGGCTAGCCCATGGTTCTCAGTATTATGTAATTGTTCTCTATTTATCTCAACATCAAGAAAACAGAAACCTTCACCACTGCACTATCAGGCAACATCTTCACAGATGGAGAGATTGAAATTGTCAACAATTTCATTTTACTTGGATCCATAATCAACATTCATAATATTAGCAGTCAAGAAATCAAAAGACTTGTTGCACTGGGTAAAATCTATTGTCAAGGATCTCTCCAAAGTGCTAAGAGCAAAGATGTCAGTTTAAGGACTAAGGTGTGCCTGACACCAATCATGGTATTTACAGTCACTTCCTATGCACCTGACAACTGAACAATGAATAAAGATGATGAATGAATGGGTGGCTTCAAAACGTGATCTAGTGAAGGTTATTGAAACTGTGAAAAGAACAGATCCAGTGTGTCTGAGAGGAAATGCAGCCAGGGTGCTACTTCAAGGCGAGGATGGTGAAGCTTCGTCTCACAGAATCTGGGCATAGTGTCAGAAGGGGCCAGGCAGAGTTGACTAGAAGACACCTAATAATGAGAAAAATAGGATTTAATGAGACAGGATTAGAAGCAGTTATGTTAATGAGGCAAGATGACAGGATAGGGTGTCTTGAGTCAATCTCTTCTGAGATGTAAAAGAGATTTAAAAACAAGTGGAGGTCGAGGATCCCACTGTCATTAAGAAAGAAGAGACAGGGGCAGAGCTCATCCTTTGGACCTGGAGTCACTGTGCTGGGAACCTCCTGGACCCAGGGCAAGGCCAGTGAGAAGGACTGTGCCCCAGAACTGAAGGTGAGGGAAAGCCTTCATCCAGAGCTGGCACCCTGACTTTAAACTTTTGGCCTTCTGAACTGTGAGAATAAATAAATTCCTGTGGTACCTCTGTTACAGCAGTACTTCGTGACTAAGACAGCCCCCTTCTGCAGATGAGGTGAAGGTGGCTGCCAGGTGAGGGGCAGAGTTGGACTCCCAACTCAAGATCTGACACAGCCTGGCCTTCTTAGCTGCAAAATGTGAGACTTCTGACACATGTTGTTGTGAAGTGCCATCCAGCTGCGAATGACTCATGATGACCCTATGAACGAAGGATCTGAGCTCTGTTCTAGAACTATCCCCATTTCCCTAGTGTTCATAGAGTTTCCAAACGCCTGTTGTTTAGGAAGAGGATGGTAATCGTGGTCCCAACTCCTGCAGCAGCACCTGTGCTGTGTGCACTGATGGGAGGGAGGACAGAGCCTCCGTCACCTTACTGCCAGCAGCAGACTAAGTCAACAGTGACATCCAAGCCCACGCTCTCAATCCACACCCCACACCCACTCACATTCACACCCATCTCCATCCACAGCTACGTCAACTCACATCCACACTCACACTTCACACTCATACCCACAGTCACAGCCACACCCACCTACACCCACACTCACACCAACACGCTGACACCCACACCTTCTACTCACACACCTCCATCCACCCATATCCACGCACACTGACGATGAGTCCCTTCTGATGCACAGTGAAGCTACAGCACGGAACACGTCTGCCCCTCAGGGTCCCACGCACAGTGACCCTGACCCTCGGGGTCCCACGCACAGTGACCCTGACCCTCGGGGTCCC